GCTGGAGTTACAATAATTATGGCACTGAAAAATACAGAGTCAGTGTGACAGAACAACAGTTAAATACAGGTTGAGCTTTACCAATCAGTTTTCAGCAGTTAGATTCAAAAAATATTTAGGGTGACAATTCTCATGTTCTTCAATAGAACATCTTATTTTCTTTAGATTTTAGTTAGAAGTTTAATTACTGCTAGTGTCAGTCGCTTAGTTCTCTTTTGTGTTTTGTTCTTTTTTTTCAATTTAAACAACAGCTTGATCCAGATGTTTTCCAGTTTTCAAATCTCTGTTCAAAGGTGAGACTATAGTTCCCATTGTTACCATTTTGGTAACATGACATGCAAACTGTTGGCATTTATAAAACTCTCTTGTGTAAATTATTTTTAAATAGTTTTCAGGATAAGTAAGAGGTACTCAACACTGACTACTTGAATAGTTTTTCCTGCAAGAAACTAAAGGTCTTCTCTAATAATCATTATTGGTGTCTGTTTTGTTTTTTGTGAGAGCAGCACTGCTGAATCACACAATTTGTCCCATCTGTGATCTAGCCTCAAAAATTATGGATAAAATAATTTACATAAGTCAGATAAAATGGAGTAAAGCCAGGGAACATGTTGAACACATCTGTTTTGTAGCTGGCTCTGCAATTTTTCCAATAAAGCACGCCTATAGTATAAAAATTTCTTCTACTATGTCATTGGACTGTGTGACATATCAAAATGGCAAAAGGCTTGTTCAGGTATAGTTACACTGACAGAAGTTACCTTAGTAATACAACTTACTTCAAAGACAGCGCATGTATAAAATAGACTGTTAAAAATGCATTTTTGCTAATAGAAGCTGCATCTAACCCTAGCTGAACTTGTTCTCAATCAAGTTTCCTCTTGTAAAGCAAGCTTACATTCAAAAGCCACAGGGATTGTATGTGCTGGGAAATAGATGTGGAATAGCGGAAATTGCATACTTTCCTGCAGAATAACTTAGTGAACAGCAATCCTGTTCAGTCTAGAAAAGCTTAATATAAGAAAACTAACCTGAAAAGGATTGAATTCAATACAGTATAAGGTTCTACTCATTGTAAAGATAACTCAGATTCACATATATGAAGAAAGAGATATCCAATTTAAACACCAATACAAGCTTCTGTGTTCACAAATGTAGGAGCCAAGAACATGATGTTGTTGGAAAAAAAAACCAAACCCAAACAACCCACAAACAAAACCAAACCAAAAACCAACCTACCTGTGCGCATACACCCTAGAATGACATTTTAATAAGGCTGTCATGTTACTTCTGCTGCAACTTATAGAGTAAGTTAATTACTCTGTTGCTATAAGACTGTATCTGGGGAACTTTGAAAAAGATACAGGCCAATCACACAGAGCCCAGTGAGAGTTAGCAACAAAAATCCTAAGAAAACATGACCTGTGAAGAAAAGGCCTGTTTGCACAGTTTAGTAAAGAGAAGTCTGAAATCAAAGGAGACAGAGGAACAGTCTTTACATATGCAAACAGCTGGTGCAAAGAGTACAGAAATCATCTTACTGCATGAGTAATAGTTGGACAAGAACTAACTGGCTTAACTAGCACCAAGACAGAGACTTAAGTTAAATATTAAGAAAATCCTCCTAACTATAATGATAGTTATGTACTAGCTATAAATAGACCAGTGAAGAGGTGAGGTATTCCCCTCCTCTGAGTTTTTTAAGGAAAGATCAGACAGATGCCTGTCAGACATGATTTCAGTGTATTTGCTTCTGCCTCAGAATAAGGACTGACCTCATGAAATCCCTTCCCTTAGTACACATCCATCATTTCTTCATTTATCCAAATAAGAACTGTTTATCAGTTTATCAGAGCTTCAGAATCACAGTATTTGCAAAATAAACATTTGAAACATTTTAATTTTATTAAATTGCTGTTGTCAGACTGTTAGTGTACTTATTCTCAGTTTTTTTTCCTCAAGATATCTTTGTTTTGGCCTTGCTCAAGTAAGTCCAACTTCAAATGACCTCATTAAGCTGGGCTCTAAACTATGCCACATGTGTATTTGTGGGTCAAGTGTCTCTAGAGCAGTGGTTCCCACAGATAGAAATCAGTGCAATATCCTAACACAGAACTCCATCTTTCCTTCACTTATTGTTACCAAACCTCCTGCAGCTTCTCAGAAAATACACTTAAGGTGAATAGATTAAAACCATCTCAGAACAATCTGTAAACAAGCATGCTTAGTCTAAGAAATTAGGTTAACACAGAGCCTTAAACAGCATTTCTCATTATTACTATATTACTAAATCAAGATCTCATGCCAAGATCCAGAAGTGAGAATCACAACTAACCCGTGGCATTCTGAACATATTCCCACTGCCCAATTACATATTTACAATGTTATTTTGCAAAACATGTGCAATTATAGCAGGCATGATCTATTTTGACCTATTTCTTAGTATTACAAAATACCAGAATATTTAAATATTAAATTAAGATCTTCTCTCCCACAGAAAAATTATTGTGCTTAACAGAATCCACTGATTTTTTTAAATTTTTTACTTTATAAATTTACCAGTGTCAGTTCTATTTCAGAATTTTAAAAGCTTAAGTTTAGAAATTAAGTTTTCAGAACAGCAAATTTAATTGCTTGCTAATTAGATAAATGTAGGTAAGGTCACTAGTCGATATGCCTATTTACATTAGCTTGTCATATGTATGAAAGCAAGTTCTGCAAAAGTAACAGGATGTACTTAATTACATTAATCGGTCACATTTTCATCATTCATTTTTCTACAAATAGCAGTCTAAACAGAGGATAATGTTAACAGCAAAGATCTAAAAGGAAAGTATTAGAAAATACGTTCGTTACTCCAAATCAAATGTGTACCTCACAATAGATCAGAACACCTCTGGCTCTTTGTTTGGTGGGAGAGGAGGAATCAATGATGGAAATCACTCTATTATCATTCTCAAGTCACATTTTATAAGAAAACATTTTCAGTTCAGAGAATGGTCAGTTAGAGAGCCACTGAACAATCTGTCACAAAAATAAATTACAAGTTAATCCATGACTTTTGACTTAGTTTGTTGATGTAAAAAGTCAGCCTGCAGTAAAGCTAATATAGATGAAAGACAAAAAATGAAACTTAAGATTACTAATATGCAAAGCTTTTTTCAAGAAGTTCTCCATAAATACTTATTAATAATGTCCACGTTTTAAAAAAGAGTAATTCTGATTTGTACCTAAACATTAGCACTGTATTTTAGGAATTCATTAAAAAAAAAGTAAAAACTATAAATGTGAATTAAATTTACAGCATGACTTACTTTCTTGATCTCTCTAGAAGAAAACTTTATAATAAAACATTAAGTCTTCAGCATTTAGCCTCAATTAGCTTTAAATTCCACAGGTCTGCATATTGACTAGCCTTCCTAAGAATGACAGCAAAGAACCCCTGAAAGGACCAAATTTGAAAGATTACTTTTACTATAAATTACCTAGCTTTATCAATGTAAAGCAAAAAGCTTCCCTACCATATTTAAATTAAAAAAAAACAAAAAACAAAAAACAAAAAAACAAGATAATGCTCTTATTACACTACGTTAATAAATTCTACCTGTCGCAGGTATCTGACTACTCACATATTCTATAAAAGCTCTCAAGATTACCAAACACCACAGCTATCTGAGAAAAAAGTTTCCTCTGACTGTTTAGAAATCTCAGCAAGCTACAACAAGCAATTCAGAAACATCTGTTTTCTTCACCATAGTCTTCCATTAGTGTCAGGTAACTACTGACAAAAACTGACATCAAGATGCTGGCATCAAGACAAACTGTACAGATTTTTCTCCAGCAATGAGTCAATTTGACAAACATTACTTTGCTATTTCGCTTTATCAAAATAGAATAAAACCTTGGAGGAAAAAAAATTAAACCAATTATATACACCTCATTATCTGAATCAATATTCGGGTTCAATACATTTCAGTGGCAATCATGACAGAACACAAAGAGTAAAGAAAACAGGAATTATAACAAGTTCTCATTTTTAAATATATTTCTGAGGAAAGCAGTTATTAAAAAAGCCACTGTAAGCTAAGGCATACATGAAAGTAAAATTTCCTCATACAGTATTTGTTATTTTCAAATGACAGTGAAGGATTCACCCATAGGGTAGGAAAAAACACCAAACAACCAAGAAAATTCTTCTAAGGCTTTTCACTGTAGTGCACATACTAATTCATCACTGCCCATTCCCTTTAAACTAACCGTAAGAGAATTCCATCGGAAAGGACGCTTTGTAGGGTATTCTCCTAATAAGTGCAATGCCATGAGAGAATCCGCGATGTTGTGCAGAGAAGGATGTAGACATTCACTCTGCAAATACTACGTCTTTGCCATATACATAGCAACACATTTCTGAAGGCCTCTTACACCCTGCAACGTGCTGCATTGTTTAAAGAACTGTTACAGCTGAGAAACATTTTCTGCGTGAACTAGAAATCCCCCTTATTTCAAGGCAGGCTTCTATTGCTTTTTATTACCCTCTTAGAGGACACTTCATGGTACAATATAGCTTATAAGAGCTCAGCTTATTTAATGCTTTAGTCTTCAGTAATTTCACAACCAAAAACTAAAACCAGATTTACAAAGCAAGAAAGGAAGCCCAAAAAAAAAAAAAAAAAAAAAAAAAATCACCAACCTCGTGGGTGCTGCAATGCACCTCAAAAGCAATAAGAGAAAAAAATTATTCAACGTTCACTTTTCCTCCCGACGGAAATATCTCGCAGAATCTGACCTACATACCCAATTCACAGCACTCTGCTATCACTGCAGAGCAATTCAAAGACAAGAGACTACGGCATCCGTATGCAATCACAGGAAGGTTTACTGTGACACATAAATGTTTGTAGAGCTCGTAAAATTCTCCAGAGTCTGCAGTTGTAACGTAAATAACTAACACGTAGCCGTCCCCCCGCCCCAGCACCTCAAAGAACTACCCCGCCGCGTACCGCCATCTGCACAGGGACGGTGCTCCCGGCAGCTCCGCGCAGCGCGGTTCCTGCTCCCCCCCGCCTCGGCCGGGCACCTCTCGGATGCCCCAAGCGCCCGCACACCGGCGGCCCCTCCAAGGCGCGCTGAGGAACCCGCCCCCCGAAGCACACAAGCATCTGAGCGGCGAGGGCCGCCCCCCGCCCGGCCTTTCCCAGAGCC